TTTTGTTATTAAGCTGTCAGATTTGATGTTCAGATTTGTCAACACTTCTGGATTAGAAGTGGATTCTGGATTAGATTTTGCAAAATCCATTTAACCTTCTAGTAGGGATGTAACGGTATCAGAATTTCACGGTACGGTAATACCTCGGTATGAATGTCACGGTACGGTATTTATTGAATCATTTACAGGAAAAAACAAAACTTATGAAAATACTCCAAAAAAGTGCCAAAAGTGTCAATGACATACAAATTAGCCATCTATCTGTAAGCTTTGAAACAGGAACTTCAATTTTAATAACAAAAAATTATTAAACCATGTAAAAAAATAAAGTTTCAATTTAGTATTGTTGAAAACTCATCACATTCAACATTTAATCACACTCAGCCCATCTACCCAGATGAGAGCTCTGCTAGTCGGACTTCTCATCAAGCATCTCCCGCTGGATCTAATCTCACTATATTTATTAAACGGGATATTTCATTTATCTTGTTGTCTTTATCTAACGACATATTCCCTGACTTTGGGCATTGGAATCTATTACTTGTTCTCAGGTAACGTGTTTTGGCTGAGCGCAAAGATAAGTTAATGATTAATGTAACCACGTCCATTCTGTATATTGACTGATCGCTTGCCTTTATTTCCTATAATGTATAAACTTATTGTATGTTATACTTTTAAAATGGCCATTATCGATTCTTAAAACTGATACTCAGCAAAAGAGAGGCTGTGTTTCGTATTTTCACTGAAATTGAAAGGAGGCAGTTGTTATCGGCTCCGTTTTGTTATAAATATCCACACAGTGAAGATGACGCTCATCTTATGCAGCACGACGCCTCAACATGTCTGCTGTCTAAGTTGCTAATATTAAAATGAAAATAGGCAGTTCCTTAAATCATGTTTACATTTTATTGTTGAGAAAGTGAAACAACGAAGCCAGGGTGATGTGAATGAAGTTATAAAGTACACTGTTCCCTTTGAAGATTTACCCGTGTCCTTTGTATAATCTGCTTTTCCATATCAAACTGAGAAGAAGAGACTGCAGCCTTGATCAAACTTGCGAAGTCTGAACTTACACGGAGATAATGCAGGACTGAACTGTGCGTGTTAGGCTACTTAATATTCAGGAAAAGCCCCAATCAGAGAGGCGAATGTCTGCAGCCCCGCTTCCGTTTTCAGATGTACATGACAGTTTATAAGTATCACACACCAGACGCGCACATTCGAATGATATTTAACATGAAACTAATCAGATGGCGCTCTGTGGCGCGGCTGAAAAATGAACTCCGTCCTGAGCCGTCGCCGGGCGCCGCCGACAGCCGCCGACTTGCGGCGCCGGTGTGTGTATCCTCAGAAACCTATGTTTAGAATTCTAAAATACATGGCGCTGCGCGGCGCGCCGCCGAGCGCCGCTTCTGGTGTGCGACCTGCTTTAGAGTTTTCCAGCTCTTTTCATCCCCGCTTCTAGCAGCACACTCCATTTCCGCATTACTGGATCTGTAGCGACAACAGACTGCAAGGGGTGATGGTCAAGCATGGGCTGATGGCAATTGTAGTTTTCGCTACCTCCCGTTCGCTTCATTCGCCTGAGCAAATTTTCTCAGAAGACCTATAGTTTTACCGAGTCATGCGACTTCGGTAATATCGAAAAAAAATAATATTGCGGTATGACGGTATTTACAATACCGTTACATCCCTACCTTCTAGTGTTTTTTGTTTTGTTTTGTATGATTTGACATACAACTTTTGATTTAATTTGAAAATTTTGAAGCAAAACTTGAGGAAAATATACAATATATTTCATATTGGATTTGAAAGTAGTATTTTCATGTCTTTTTTATGATGAATTTTAACTTCTATAACTTTTTATTGTAATTTTACTTGTATGTAGTTCCACTTCATGAATAATCTACCATGCTTTGTCTTTAAAAAGAAACCAAACACAAAAGCATTACGTATTTATGATATAAACCTTTTGTTTAAATGGTCTGAAAAAGATACATTGGGAATTGAATTGGAAACTAAATCTAGTGGAAATGTTTGGTACTGCACTCAAGGAGTTTTACTGAAATCTATTTTATTCTATTTTATATTTTAATCTATTTCAAATTTAACAGATTTGACATACAGATTTAAAGTTATACATGTGTGTATGTATGTATGCATGTTGTGTATACACTGTAAAAAATGTTTGTGAAAATAACTGTGAAATTCTGTAAAATTGTGACATCTAAATTTTGTAAATAGAAAAACAATGAAACAGTGTTAAATTTACAGTATGGTTTTGTAAAAAAATAAAAATACAGTTGTAAAACGTTGAACCAAATTAAACTGTTAATTGTACTGTAAGAATGTGTATCAATAACAATGTTTATTTGTAAAATTTACTGATCACTGTTATTTGAATAGTGCAAACATGTAATACTGAAAGCTGCTGTAAAAATTACAAATTGATACTAAACAAACTAAAATCATCCTATTACAGATTAAAAAAAGCATGTGTACACAAGTATAACAATCACAAAATAACCAAATCATGTTTTCCTTACATATATCATTACATATTTACAAGTTTTAAATGATGGGTTTTAAAGGCAATGTGTCTGTTCAGAATTGTCCTAATAGTATATAAGCTATTTTAATATTAGGCTTTATTGATAATTATCATATTTAATGTTGGCCTATGGAAAGATAATGGTTATTTGTCCCTAAGGGTCCTTTATTTTTGAACACTATGTAAAATGTAATTGTTAATCCACTGTATTTAACAACATATATATATATATATATATATATATATATATATATATATATATATATATATATATATATATATATATATATATATATATATAATTTTTTTAATTGTTTTTTTTAAACAATAATTTAATTAATAAAATATAAATGTCTTGTTGTTATTTAAAATGTGACAGCAATGTGTTTATAGTTAAAATGTATGCTTTTGTGTAAATTAACGTCTGCGTTTGAATTTCAAACTCTGTTCTGCCTTGTCCAATGACTAATCGGCTATCTGATTCTTGCGGGAGCAGCCATTTTACAGACGTTTATAGTGAGTGCGCGCGCTCCATCTGTCCGGCCCGCGAATGAAGCTGTGGATGACGTCTGCCAACATTTCTAACTACTGAGGCACTGTGGTAAGTTTAGTGAAAAGTTCGTTTACTTTGTACTTTAAACGCTTTATCATACAAGCACCTGCAAAAAGGGAGAGGATATTATTTGGGGTGTTGCACGGTCGTCGAAATAATAATGAGTGGCACAATGCAAAGGTAACTCGGCTCCTTGTCTTATCGTCTAACTAACGTAAAGCTGAAAAAAAAACATTTTTTGTTCGAAGTCTAAAGATGATTAACCACGTGTAATTTTTGCAACAAAACCTTCGAGACACTGAGAGGCTATGTGTTGCATTGTAAAGTTCATAGAAACGAACTCCTATTGATTTTTCAAATATGTTAGTGCTGGCTGTAAGCGAACATTTTGCTCTTACGCTGCATTTAAAGCACATTTCACAATGAGTCTGCATCAACCGTTAGTGCTAAAGCAGTTGCAGATTTTAAATTTCTAAATTTCGTTGTGTGACCTCACGTTTAACACGGCTGAAGATTTAATGCCACTTAAAAGAGCATATAGCAGAAGGCCGACCTGTGGCTTTTCCAGTAACGGGTTGCAAAAATACTTTTACAATTAAATCGTCTTTCACATCTCACATGTCCAGGAAGCATAGAGCTGCCTCAAATAATACTGTAAGTGACATTTACAGGAAAACTGTTTCTCAGTCGTCCACTGTCATGAATGTGTTGTTTCAAATGATGTAACAACACCTGAAACTACTGAATTATACTGAATAGAGCTGTTTGTGGATTTAAAAGATTTGGAGGAAAATGGAATAGCTGTAGGTGGTAACGTAGTTAAAGGTGCACTGTATTGTATTGCTGGTGGTGATAATTTGCGTTCACATGCCATTGGTGGGTTTACTGAAAATTTCAGTATTGTGCTCAGTATTTTTGCAGGTATTGTGAAATAACAAGAAATGAATTTCAGAGTGATAACCCAAATGTTTGTGGTCCACAGCGCACCCTTGAAACTTATGATTCTGCTGTTCATGATTTACGATCTTAAGACAGTCAAGACATCAAAGAAATAAAGGTAAACTCTGTTTTCTGTTGCATGTCAAAGACAGTTACACTTTTTACCCAAGTCTTTACAGTGAATCAATTAAACATACAGTGAGAGAATTTAACTTTTCAGACTTTAATACTACTGTGTCCACAGAAATAATCTATAAAGGAATGTCATACAAAAAGGGACATTTTCTTGTGTCTAAAAGTGATGAGTTCAACTTCTCATCATTTTAATCCAAAATGACGAAGCTGTGTTTTTTGTAATGGGAATACAAAAAGCTGAATATCATTTTGAATACCATCTGTATTCTGTGACTAAACAGAGTACCAGGCTACAGTGTCTTAGCATAAATGACTTGGTTGATTTTTATTTAACATTATAAATTGTTAATGGGTACCAAGTCATTACGCTGAAACACAGCGTGCTGTCGAAGTAAAGAGATCTTGTCCACAGAAGTGAAAAAAATATACTAAAAATCATCATGTATGCTTAGATAAAATAACATGTAGTTTAAAGAGATAGTTTTTCCAAAAATAAAAAATGTTGATATCATTTACTTACCCTTGACTTTTTTTTTCAATCCTGTTTGGGATTTGTTTATTTTTTTCTCAAGATGATAATTTAACTGTTGACTTCTATAGTATTTTTTCCTACTATGGAAGTCTATGGTTACAAGTTTCCAACATTCTTTTAAATGTTGTCTCAAAAAAACTCAAACTGGTATAAAATATGTCAAGGATAAATAAATTATAGATTTTAAATTTAAAAAATGTTGTGATCTATCCTTTTGAAAATAGTAAGATTTTTGTTTTATTTGCAATTAGATGAACAGAAATAAACTCTTAATAAATTTAATAACTACATGTTTAATCACTACTTGATTGATTTCAGTAATGACTGACTTGGAGACAACATTTCTACGTACTGCCATCACTGAGGTCTTGCCTAACCTTCCAGAGGCAACAAAAGACATTTTAGAAGAGACATTGCAATCCATTGGAGTGGAGACATATGATGATTTTAAGTTTATTGAGGAATCTGATTTGCTGACGGCATTAAGGCCAATCCAAGCTCGAAAAGTCCTTGCTGCTTGGAAGTTAAGATGTAAGTCATGTGTTGCAGAACAGAATACTCCAAGACAAGTTCACAAAGTTACATGTGTAAAAAGGTCTTGAAAAGAAAATGTAAATAAAATAAAAAAAACTTTGTGTTACTGACTATTGTTTGTGTATGACCTTTTGCAGGCCAGACACCAGAAACAAGCAGCTCACCACAACCTTCCACAGCCTTGCATAGTTCACCTGCAAGTTCTCAATCATCCTCCACCAGCATCTCCCAAAGCCCAGATGTAGACTGGGTGGATACGTTTCTGATACCATGGGATAAATTTCCTCAGGAACTAATGCAATTTTTGGAGAGAGGAAAACGACCAAGTCCACGAATGAGAAGAGAGATGGTCCGGATTGTGGTAAACGAGATGATGCGAAAATGTTCATGCCCAAATAAAAGGAATTCTACTGAAGTTGCCAAAAAGATGGTAGCAAAGTATCCAGAGTCTCTCCTGGATGTAATAGAGGGGGATGTGGTTGGGCCAGGGTACCATTCTTTAGTGAAGCAATTGCAGTATAGGATTGAAAATGTGAAGCGATCTACAACACCCAAAATAAGAAAACGAAGACATCAGACTGATGACTCTGACACGGATGAAATTCCTCCAGAAAAGAGGGCAGCAATTCAGGATACATATGGATGCATTAACTGGCATGTAAAATTCCTGCCACTGGGAGAGACCTCTGAAAGCCAGGAGGAAAAGAAAGAGAAAATGAAGATAATGTCTCGTCAAACTGATGCAGATGCAGAAGAAGTCAGACATCTAATGAAATTGACTTTCTACACACAACGTAACCAAGTAAATCAGGGCAAGAATATAAAATGTCTCCTGGAGGATTGGCCATGGTGGTTTAATGAGCTTGGCATGGCAGTTCACTACAAGGAGCTTACCGGAATTGGTCTTAATGAAACTTTCACCCGGAATCTGGACTTGAAGGGGAAACGACTCCTAAACTACTTCAGTACAGTTGGTGTGAACAAAAACAAAAAGTTCCTGCAGGACTTAACAAAGTTTAAAGTGATGAGGGGAGAGCTAAGTGGTTGCTCTGAAGATGTGAAAGAGATGTTGATGCTTTTGCTTTCCTACTTCAATGAGAAGGAAGATGCTATGTTCTGTCATGTGGAGGACACATGCCTCGCAGAAGAGGTAGAGATGGACAAAGTTAATTTGACCCCAACACTTGTTGTGTGTGGTAAGTTTATTTGTTTGTTTCTTTGCTATAAATTTTTTTTTAATGCTTGACTATGGAGCTAAAATATGACAAAAAATCTGAATTTTTTTGTTTGAATTATTGACAATTGTAATTTAATAAATCAGAATTTTTATATGCCGTTAAATTTTGAATTTGAATTAATTTTTTGAATTTGAATTTCTTAACTTGAATATTGAACATCTAAAATTTAAGACAACTGTAATTTTCAAGGCAGAAATTTTTTATAGACGTATTTTCATAGACTGCAGATATCCAGTTTATAAAAGTACAGTATCAAGTTTTCAGGATAAATAAATTCAGAACATCAAACTCAGTAATATAAAACTCAAAACCAGAATTTTAGATTGTGAAATTCAGATTCAGCAGAAATAAGGTCAGGGGTCATCGACAGGAAAGAGTAGACGATCACCAAAAAGTTAAAGCTCATTTACAGAGCTGCGTGAGTTTACAGCCTGGTGTATGTGAGGCTCAGGAGGACACAATTCTTCTGCAAACTGACTATCAGGGTCAGCTATTTTCACTAGTTTGTGTAATAAATATATACATGCTTCAGTGAACCAAATTCATATACTTAATTCAATTACATCTCGTTGTTTAATAAATTTTATTTTTTCATTTTTGCCTGCATTTTCAAACTCCCTGCGTTTTACAGCTGTGGTAAATGACATATTTGCATGCACATGCTTTTTACTATATAGTATATAGTATAGTATTTTAAGGAAGATTTTAATGTTTGGCCAAAGTCTATCATCAACACTGAAATGCTGCCTCTTTTAAAAATCATCTATTCACATCCAAGATGTCATATTTATCCTTACATTTATATTTATTTAAATTATCAGATTTTTCCATATATTTAAAAATATCGCATTATTTTTGGCTAAAATACATTGAAACCAAAATGTCCAACAGGTGGCACCAAACCTCTATCTTTGTCACTGAATTGTTCATTCAGAGGTGTTCGATTCGGCTTATTTATAAATGAATTAAGTGACTCATTGTGAATTACTTGCTCAGAGATTTTTGTTAGCCTCATTTGTTAAGTGCTTAAAACTTTTTGTTCAAATGGTAACATGAGGTGTTAATAAGTCTATATTGTTGTGAAAAGTGTACAGTGAAAGCCACTTGATGAGTTTTCAACGTTTTTTTATGTAACCCGAAACTGAAAGCATCCTTCCCCATACTTAAAGCTAAAATACATGAGTTTAATTTTACATTAGGCTATATGTCGACAAATAACATTTATTTTGACCTATTTCCAGACCCCCCAAACCCCCACCCTCGTGGTGAATGATTCCTAGTTTGACTTTTCAGTGATCGTCTACTCTTCCGTTGATGACCCCTCACCTACTTTCTGCTGAATCTGAATTTCACAATCTGAATTTCTGGTTTAAAATTTTATAATATTGAATATGATATTTGGAATTTCTCTATCCTGACTTGAAACTACTTTCACAAACTGGATACCTGCAGTCTATGAAAATACGTCTATAAAAAAATTCAGTTGTCTTAAATTTCAGATGTTCAATATTCAAGTTAAGAAATTCAAATTCAATTTTTTTTTACGGCATATAAAAATTTAGATTTATTAAATTACAATAGCAAATAATTTAAATGAACACAATTCAAATTCAGATTGTTTTCGTATATTATTAGCTTCATACTTTACAATAACAATAAATTTGTTACCATTAGTAATCATGAACGTACAACAGTACTTATATGGCATTTATTATTTGTTGTTACTCACATTATTATGTATTTCAAGATCAAAGAATGTCATGATAACGTTTAATAGACCGTTCAGCATTGTTCAAGTATTGTTAATTGTACATTCATTTGAAATATTTGTAACAAATAAATCTTGTAAAGGTTTTTTAATTTGTTTGTATTTTTTACTTTTATGGTATTATAATTAAATACCAAATTTAACTTTTATTTAACTTTTTTCTAAGGCCAATCCTGCTTTTCATCGAAGCGTTTCATGCTGTGTGTGGATCGAACTGTTGTACATGACAACATCCCCTCCTTCATTTCCGCCCTGTGCATGATGTTTGGGAGCTATTATTGCTTCAACATCCATTACCCATCAGAGCTGGCATCAACCTTGGAGTTTTTGCAGAGGTATGTGTTTTTGTACAGGCTTTATACAACATTGAAGTGACCTAAATTGCTAATGCAAGGTTTTCTTTTCCCTGGTTTATATGTACAGGTTGACAAATTTCTATTATATTAATTATAATTAAAATTATAATTTCAATTAAAAAGGTATTTTTCCCAAAAAAAGAAGATTTTCCCAAAAACATAAGATTTTTTTTATCATTAATACAATTCATTTTTTTCTCTTTTTTGCTCAGGTGTTTCTTCTCTATCAACCCAGAGAAAGGCACTAAAGTGGAGAAGACAAACACAGCCCGTCTTCATGTGAACCCAAGAGTTCTTACCTTGATTCAGGAACTTTCCGATCATGAATGGCGTGATGTCTAAATACGGACTGAAGTCAGTCAGGTTTGGACATACAGTGAATGCCAGTTTCTCAGGTTTGTTTGATCTGCCATGCTTAATGTATGTGTTATTACACAACTGTTAGAGTTTTTATTGCTCTAGTGTTTTCTGAATTAAGTTATTCCTGAATTGTTGGTTTGTATTGAATATTTGTTTATAAAACAATTGTTAAATGTTCTTAACCCGATTTAAGAGAAAAGTTGGTAGCACTTTATAATAACTACACACTATGAACCATTTATTAAGCATTAATAAATATAATGGATTAATTTACTGTTGAGCATTAACTCTACATTAATAAACATTAGTAGACAGTTTATAACAATGGCTAAAAATGTTGTATTCTTGACTTAAAAGCATGTGTAATGTGCTTAATAACTGTATTTTCATACTTTGTTCATGATTCATTTTTCATGACTAAATTGAGTATCGCATTATTTACAAAGCAGTTATTTAAGAGTAGTTGGTGGTTTTTTAAGATCATTCAGAATGCGTAAGTTAATGATTAATTAACTATTTAAATAAACATTTATAAATATTATTATTCAGGCATATACTAATAGTTAATTTGTATGTTAATAAATGCTTTATTAACTCAACTTCATGCAGTTTTGTGACCTAATCTAAAGTGAGTACTATTTATGCTTTATAAATCCCTTATAAATGACAAGGCTCAGTTAAATTCTAAACAGGATTTTTTTTTATTAATTTGAAGAAACACAAATGAAACTGTATCAAATGAAAATAAATCTTTGCAATCTTGTGTAAAATAAAATTACTGTAGAGTTTAAACATTGCTACATAACATTGAAATGTTGCATCCTATTATATTGTTAAATTATATTGTTTTTTAATCCAATTTTATGTTAAATTTTGACACTCCTGTTATTCGGCAATGTTTAAACTTTACAGTAATTAAATTTTTTAAATAAGATTGCAAGGATGTGTTGTTCATTTGATAACGAGCCTTTAATTATCATTTATAAGGGATTTATAAGCATAAATAGTCCTCACTTTAGGTTAGGTTACAAAACTGCATTAAGTTGAGTCAGTAAAGCATTTATTAACATACATAGTAACCATTACTACATGCCTGAATAATACAATATATAAATATTGATTTCAATAGTTTATTAATTATTTACTAACTCATTCTCAATGATCTTAAATATCACCAATTACTCATACAAATGGTTTGTAAATAATGCAATACTTAATTTAGTCATGAAAAATCAATCACCCACACATGATGAAAATACAGTTATTAAGCACATATTAGTGTGCTTATAAGTCAAGAAAACAGTATTTGTAGCCGTATATATATATAAACTGCTTCCTAACGTTTATCATTGTAGAGTTAATGCTTAACAGTTAATGAATTCACTATTTGCTAATGCTTAATAAATGGTTCATAGTGTGTAGTTATTATAAAGTGTTACTAAAAAGTCTTTCATTTTATTGGCATTTCAATTTTAGTTTTACTGGCAATGTCTCCCATCTCTTTGCCTATAACTTTCCTTATTTGTTTTCAAGAAGACAATTATTAAACTGTCACATGCTCTCTAAAAGGTGAATGTATCGTTTGTAAGGAAAGTAATAGAAATTTGTGTTGCAAACTGACAGACAGTGTTGACTTGTTTATGGTTAATAAATACAAATTATAGTTGGATTACTTTGTCTTTGAGTGCAGTTTCTATGATCTATGCATATCTAGAATTTATATCCCTAGGTACTGTGTAACATACAAGTTATCGTTTTCATGCATGGTCAAGGGTAAAGCAAATGATTTACAGTTGCTACTGAAATTAAACTATGTTCATTATACGAAACAACATTGGTCTTCTTAAAATATTATAAATAAACACAATTGACTAAAGTGATGATCTTATGCTGTTAAGTTGTTTACATTTTAAAATGTATTTTCGTTACATAATTATTGTGGCATCCACAGCTGCCAGATTTTTTTTAGATATTAATGTAATTATTAATTTTAATAAACAGTATTAATTAGTAAATATATTGTTTTGTTTTTTTCACGTAATTGTTCTTTATGTTCAACAGTTTTAAATTGTAAACAGGTTTACATTTTTATTGTAATTTTTACAAAATTATTCTGGCAACCACAGCTGCCAAAATATTTTTGTAAAAACAACAAGATTTTTTGTTTAAATACTAAAAATTTAAGTATTTCTTACACAAAATTTTTGTAAATTTTACATAATATTAATTTGTTTTTTACATAATTATTTTGTACATATACAGTTTTAAATTGTAAACAGGTTTACATTTTTATTGTAATTTTTACAAAATTATTCTGGCAACCACAGCTGCCAAATATTTTTTGTAAAAATAACAAGATTTTTTTGTTTAAATACTAAAAATGTTATTTATTCTTTCACAAAATTTCTGTAAATTTTACAAATTTTTAAATTGTTTTTTACATAATTATTCCGTACACATACAGTTTTAAATTGTAAACTGGTTTACATTTTTATTGTATTTTTTACAAAATTATTCTGGCAACCACAGCTGCCAAATTTTTTTTGTAAAAACAACGGAATTTTTTTTACAGTGTATAAATTAAGCAAAATGAGCATTCCTAGTTCAGTATGACAGACATTTGATTCACTTTTATTAAACATGTTTTGTCCTGTTGTTATAACGAATGCCATTTGCTAAAATCTGATATTTAAATATATACTTTGAATCGTGAGGTTTGATTCGCCATTAGGGATTAGATTAATGTTAATATATTGTTTCATTTAAAAACATAATTAACAAGCCTATTTTGTGTGACACATTAAATATTGGATTAAAAAATACTGATTTATTTTAACATGCGAACAGCCTACAGAACATAACGGAATAATTTTTACCCACCTACAGTGTTTTCAACATAGAAAAAAGCATAGAAAAAAATAGTAAACTAAACAAAAAGAATTTTTAAAAATCCTGGTCTAGATCTTTTTTTATTTAAATGATAAATTTAGATTACAAAATGAAAACACTGACTGAGTCCTTTTTAAAAACCATCATTGGCTGTTTGTCCAATCATGTTTTTTTCTTCCGTCAAATAAAAATATTAGGCTACTTTAAGTAGATCGCTCCATGTAAAAATATGTATTTAATTAATGCTCCACTGTTAGTATTATATTACAAAACCTCTGTCAACATTTTTAACAGAAGTCATTAGTTTAATGATTGTCTTAATAATGATTATGATTTATTTCCTCTGTCTCACTCGCGGCTCGTGTGCTCGCCCTGCATGTAATGAAAGACGATGACAATGAACGTTAAGGCTCATGTGTTGACTTTTTGTGTAGACTACTACATTTGATATTGCGTTAATTTGCGTGCATGCAATGTTTTATAAGCTGTAAAATAAAAGCCTCAGTTTGGTGCGAAGTTATCATAAACTTTGGATTTGTTTGATTGGTGGAATAGGCTATGTAGATTATTTAAAAATGTATATAACATAAAAACTATTAACAACTGTAATTTTCCAAAAGGAGAGAAGGTTGGTTGTTGGTTGTATCTTACACTAAATCATCAATTGCCTATTTGTTGAGTTTATGAATGCAGGCAGCACAGAGGCAATCAGCATCAGCACTGGTTTGTCAACTTGTCTGTGTCCAACTGTGACCAGAAATATCCTTCTTTCATTTTGCGTCTTTGGCAAAATACATCTGTAGGCATGTGTGGTTGCACGTGTTACTGTCCCGCAAGTTAATAAATATGTGTTGCACATTTAAGGGCTGATCACAATGAAAGCGCTTTCCATTTCAAAAACGCAAAGGCGCAATGTACTGCCTTTTATGTTGACAAGAAAAAAAGAAGTGCAAAGTTTTCTTTTGTGACTAGAACGACTGAATCAACTGAGCCGCATTGTGCGTGAGTCATGTTGCTGTCAATGTTGTTATAATTGTAGTTTTTAATAGCATTATGATATTCAAGATTTGTAAAGTCATATAGTTCTGGATGACTTAAAACAGTGACCACAAGTCTCTCCTTCGTCATTAAAAGTCCACCGTAGTCGTCTTGCCAACACAAACACCGCTGTCACCTCAAAGGAAACCATGCCTCTGCTTTCATTTGACTGAAGAATGAAAAAGACGCGACTGAGGTAACTTGCATTTTCCGCTCAAGCGCACATAGCATGCAACGGCAAAACATGAGGAGTACAGGGTGCATAAGCAGTACGTAAAACACTCGCGGCTGTTAGTAAACCATTCAAAAGATGCACCTTTCAACGCAAAACGTGCGTTCGCTGTGATCAGCCCCTTATGCAGCCAAATTTAAAAATATAAAAAATAATATTTTTTAATCGTTTAACTAATACCATTAATCGGTTACCAACGCACCCTTTCATTTAATGGTTAATCGGTTATTTTGAGCATCCCTAATCGCCATCGAAGCAGATGACCTGATGGTTTCCCCCTTCAGTGTTTATCATTCTACACAGGAAGGAGCAGTAACTGCTTCATTCCAGATGTCTTTCAGGGATGTAATTGTAGACTTACAGTACATAGGTTATGTGTATATAACATAATGATAATGTGTAGTCCTATAACGTGCACATCACCACCACCTTGCTCTTTGTACATTAGCTGCCTTTTAGCAACTGACCAGAAGTTTATTTATTATTTGGAATAATAGTTATATTACAAAACTAAACTAAATTACAGGAAAAGTTATATTCTGTGTAGATCTGAGTGTAGATCTGTCCCGACATTGAAGTACAAAGTATAAACCTAATAAATACTGTATTACTTGGGTGACTATTAAACTGCACTTAAATTGCTTATTATTCATTAAAGAAAAATAATATTTTTTCATATATTTTTAGAATTATTATTTCTATTGTTACTTATTTTATATATATATATATATATATATATATATATATATATATATATATATATATATATATATATATATATATATATATATATATATATATGCCTGTGACAGTCACTTTCTACTAGGCATGGGACGATAACCGTTATCAAGGTATACCGCGGTTTGGAAGAGTCAAGGTTTTAAAACTTTTCTGTAATATCGTTCCCAAGGTATGTGTAATTTATGTAATTTTTATTAACTTTTTAATATTTTTTGGACAACAGTATCTTTAGCAGAAAAGATTTCCAAAGATACCATTTTAAAAAGTAAAGAAATGTGTGTTTTTAAAACAAACGAAGACAGCAGAAGTCAATGATTCATTTTAACTATATAGCCTGACATGTTCCCTGCTCCAAAATATATTTAATGTTTCTCAAAATAAAATTTATTGTGGTAAATGGGGTAAAAGATTTTAGTTTTTTACCCTGAAATTTAAGAAGAATATATTTTAGCGCAGTAATCACAATATCGTGATATCATGAAACCGTGATAT